ATCTTGGCCCAGCTGGTACGTAGTTTCAAGTGCTCTAAATTTCCTCCCTCTTCAACAGGCGCGCCAGGGATTAACATTAAATATAATTAAATTGTTACTCACTTATCTAATTAGTTCAGGTGTGACATAAAAATCCATATTTCGTGGGAAATATTTCTATATATATACTCTGCTTGGGCCGTAGCAATTGACTATACTGCTGTCGCTATCGCCCAGCGTAATTTTGTATATTTTAAAAGACGAGGTTAATACATTGAAATTTATTAGACATCACCTCGGTAAATGTTTTTAGAAAATTCTATAACTTTTTAGGACATTCTGGAACCATTTGGTAACGTGTTGTTGAAAATCTTACGCGATTGTTCATTTGAATTATCCCGGTTGATGGAACTTTGTGCGAAGTGTAATGACGTATTTAGCAAGGTGAGACAATACAGAATACATTTTATTAATACAAAAACAAATATATTGCTTACAAGAATAAATACTAGTATTATCCGCTAATAGCTAAGGTAAGCTAGTCGAGGCGGATAATAAAGCAAAGAAGAAAAATTGTAATGATTAATTGACACATACTCAAACCGATCTGACCGCGTAGCTCAGTTGGCAGAGTATTATTGGGCTAGTATTCCAAAGGTCGTTTCGATTCCCACCGTGGACAGGCATATTTTTCAAGCTTGCCCAATGTGGATATACACTCAGAGTAACCATCAGAAGCATCATATTCACCTGAGTACACTATACCAACACAGAAAAATTCATGATTATTAGATTACATTGATTTCGAAGGAACTAGACTCGGTTCCGAAATATCACATACTCGAACCGACCTGACCGCGTAGCTCAGTTGGCAGAGCATTGGGCTAGTGTTCCGAAGGTCGTAGGTTCGATTCCCACCGTGGACAGGCATATTTTTCAAGCTTGCCCGGTGTGGATCTACGCTCAGAGTAACATCATATTCGCCTGAGTACACTACACCAACACAGAAAAATTCATGATTGTTAGATTACATTGATATCGAAGGAACTAGACTCGGTTCCGAAATATCACATACTTGAACCGACCTGTCCGCGTAGCTCAGTTGGCAGAGCATTGGGCTAGTGTTCCGAAGGTCGTGTGTTCGATTCCCACCGGTGTGATATACACTCAGAGTAACATCACAAACACCATTATTATTTATTAAGATTAAGATATGACTTGAATAACGATTATAATATAACGATCAAGCCAAGAATAGAAACTATTATTTCCCATAAGACAAATTCTACTGTTTAGCCATCAATTGGACTAACTGTGATTGGACTAACATAGTGACATCAACATAATCATCCTCAAGCCCAAAAATTGTTAATAAAGATTTGCGCAATACTTTATTCAAGTTTTTTTATTCCTAATTCACGTAGCCTATATGCATTGCATGGAAGATATATTGTTCTATATTTTCACTACAGATCTTACAAAAGAAGCAATTATTTAGTCCTGAATATTCAACGTAAAAGTTATTAGATGCATCATGCCTAGTCTCATGGATATGAATATTTCTGGACCGATAAAATAATCGGACACTGTTAATGGACAAGAGATGTTAGACGGCGGCGTGAAGATATGACTTTTATCTTGTAGTGGTTGGAACAATATTTTACGAACTAGCGCAGCGAGTGAGTAACTGAGTTTTAACACGAGAAGATAAAAGTCATATCATATAATTCAAGCCACCGCGTGTAATGTTCTGTTTATTATATAGTCTCAAGCAGAAAATTGTGAAATTTACGCTCAAATTAAACACATTGGAAAAAGTCATGTGATTGATATCTTCACTAGTGAAGATATGGAAAATATCTCACTGTGTATTTTTCAGTATCTCACTCTCAACCACACAATAAATTAAATTACAAACCAATTTATAATAAATCATATTCAAGGGTAAAACGTTTAAAATGCCTTTTAAAATTTATTATTAGCCTGTTTAAGTACACCTTTTTTTCAGTCGGAGAATTGGCTCGCGTATATACGTCAACGAAAGCAATGCGGACAAACGTAGCAAAGTCGCTTCGCGCAAACAAATTCGCCTAGTGGAAAATGAGGTTTAAAGCTCTGACTGAAAATTAATTAATTTGGCATCCTTTGATATTGTAGACTTTGTAATGAGTTCGTTGTCCTTTTTCTTTTGCAGGAGCGGAATAAGCTGTATCTTACGAAGTTGATATTACAAGAAATTTTACTTGTTCTAAGATTCAAATCATCATTGCCTGAGAAAACTATCAGATATTTAATGCAGGTATATTTATATTAGAAGAAAATTACTGCTATGATTGTTGCTGTTCTGTTTGTTTTAGTTTGTGGAAACACCACGTATATTCAGTTAGCAAAGCTTTCGATCCGTGGGCCCAGATCTCCTTAGTCCAAACAGAGTGCAAATTAGACGATCCGTGCTTAATTTAATCGTGATTTAATCGATTTGTCCGTGGGCAATTTGTCAATTAGTCCAACAATTTTTCTTATTAATTAATTATTAATATGACAATCTATACTCTGGCGTCAAAATGTCGTTTTCATGACCTTGATCAGAAAACATATGAAGTGTATTTGTGCATGGACATGGTGGGAATTGATATTATGAACTGTAACTACGTTTTAATATTTTTTCCACTGTAGTTTCTCTGTTTCGACGCTGGTACACGTTATCTGTATCCTGTTGACGGAGACGATCTGTATATTGATCTGCCACCATCAGTAAGCTTTAATCTTAAAGTGCCATTAACCTTAAATACGATTTATGTGTAATATTTGTGGCATCCTATAAGAGGATGTAATACATCATTGCAATAAAAACCCCCATCTTGAGTTTTCGCTGTTGATATGAAGTCATCAGATGAATTTTAACATGCAAAATAATTTGCAATTTATTTAATTAATGACATGGGGCAACGTCTACCGAGAAAAAAGTCGGTAAAGATGTGGTTTTCCAATAAAGATTTCTTGTATTTCTTCTTGGAATGATCCAAATATTGCACGTTAAGGACTTAAGAGGAATAAGATTAATATCACTTTCCAAGCATTAGTATAACTACCAACTTTCCATATATTTTAATCAGATGCCTGCATGCTCACAGTCAGTAATATATCACTATATAATGAATAGCGACGGCATATTGTAATAACTGTCTTAAGGCTGTTTTTCATTCATCGCAAAAACAGTTCACAGCGAGCTTGCGAGTCCTCGCAAGCTCGCAGGTCAATTTCCACACTTCATCATCTCGCGTGACTAAATTTACGTTTTTGCAAAATGGCGGCCGCTTTAAATCGGCGCCTTTTGCTTTTACTTTATTTAAGACGACGTATGAAAAGACGTCTCAAGTATGCAAAACGTTAAAATGATAAATAAATATGATAAATGTAATATTTAAATTATGTTGTCAACGAACTCCATTGGCTACTGGTCTTCATTGTTCGTGCGATCAGAAAGTAGGCCTATTGGTCAAATTATTTAACTTCGCTGTGAGTGTTCGCAATCTCGTTGCGAGTTACTCGCTAGTATACTCGCAAGCTCGCTGCGAGCTGTTTTTGCGATGAATGGAAAAGAGCCTTTAGCCTTGTGATATTTCCTAGATTATTGAAAGTTTCACAAAGTGTTGTACCACTTGTACGTGAATAACATTTTGGTATATAAGAACAAATAACTGTTCAGAATAGTATAACAGCGAACAGATTTATATTTTTCAAAAATATGCAAAGTTAGCGACATATTAGATTAAAGGGTCACTTTAAATTAAAATCTATTGCTTTGTAATAGGCTCGAACCCATGCCATGGATAATTTTCAACATCACATCACTGAAGCTCTGGATTTTATTAAAGACTGGAATTTTACTAGAAAGAAGAAAACGGTAATTCTATATGTCTGTCTGTCTCTTGACAAAACCTTTTAAAACCTTGTCTTATAGATTCTATATGTCCATAATCACATATCATACTATCTTTGCCATTCCCTTTCTATGCCAAAATAAACTTGTGTTGTCCTCAAAAATTTTGTATTGCTATTTTAGGATAGTCACAGTTGGGAAGAACCCGACCTTTTAGGGATGGGATGTTTGGGAGTTCATCTCAAGGCGACTGTCGCTCAACTATGGGCGATTGAATTAACTAAACCTTCGAAAGTAAATAAAATGTACAACAAAACTTTATCCTGGTTGAAGACACCTCCAGCTGCAACACAACTTAGGTAAGCAAACTTTCCTTGATTTTATTTCCATCCTCACATGAATGTCTTTATTCATTTCTATACGTTGCTGAAATGAAAACACTATCCTTGTCACAATATATAAAGGGACCATTTAGCAATAATTAACCGATTAACCAATCAAATGGGTACTAAGCGAGTGAAAGATGCTATATGTAGTATGTAGTAATGAGAGTCAAAAGGTCTCGACTATTTCCGTCTTGTTTATTTTCTTTTTTTTCGGTCTTGTTTATTTCTTTAAAGTTTGAGCAAGGCCAAAAGCTCTGGGCTAATTCCAATAGAAAGCAGTGCTCTTTCATTACGTTTGTCGGTACCTAATTTAAATTAAATTAAACAACAAGTACTAACCAATATGTTTATACTTATACTCTTTTATTTATACTTTATACTTTATACTTTATTTAGAAATGGTAAATACATTGCAGCCATGAGCTGAATTGCGTATTATACTTACAATTAAAAATTATTAAAATTAGAGTTTTGAAATATATCAAAGTATTATAATTAATTAACTAAATTGTCAAAAGTGTCTGTTTATAATAAGCATGCAAAAGTTATTAAGAATATAAAATAGGTAAATGAAGAGTAAAACCTATTCAGTTTTGCTACTCGATGCCATAATAAAACTATTACTAAACCGATTGGTTTTACAAACTGGAACGTCAAAAGATCTAATAGATCTCAGGTCGTGGATGGAGTTATGCCTTGGCGGCAAGAGGTAATGTAGACTGTGATTAGAATCTTTGATAATTGCATTAAACAATTTCTTGCAGCCGTTTTGATGGTGAGTGGAAAGATGTTCAATTCCACTGAGATTTAAAGCTTCCTCATATTTCAAATGGGGATAAATAATTCCAAATACGCGTTTCTGGACTCGTTCCAAATCTTGACTTAAATACTTGGGTAGGCTGTAGTGGAAAACCGGGACAGCATAGTCCAACACAGATCTTATACAGGTTATGTAAAATGTGATTAGTTCTTGTATTGGGATTTTTGCTCTCTTAAGTTGAATAAGGAAATATATCCTTTTGGAGGCTTTCTTGACTAATTCAGTGATATGTTTATTCCACGTAAGGTTGTTGCTAATGTTAAGACCTAGCACTTTAAAATCGGATACAACTTCTATGATTTGATTCTCAATTGAAATTGGGTTAAGCTCGGGTTGATTCCATGCAAAAGAAATTCGTATCTCCTTACATTTATCAGCATTTAATTGCATTCTATTGATATTGGACCAATCTAAAATTTCATTTGCAATCAGTTGAGCTTCACTGTGCTCTCCTTGCAATACAACTTCCGACGCCGTGGTATCGTCAACGTATTTCCATAAGTTCTCACTATGTTTCTTCAAATCATTAATCATTATTAAGAAGAGCCAAGGGCCTAATTTGGTTCCTTGAGGAACACCAGCCGGTACTTGGCCCCATTCAGAAAGGCAACTATTTGACAGCTTAACCCTTTGATATCTATCCGATAAAAAGTCGATAATCCAGTTGATGATACTAGTTGGTAAATCTAAAGCACCTAACTTGATACTTAGGATACTATGATCGATGAAATCGAATGCCTTTTTATAGTCAAATAGAAA